TGGGACCCTGGACCCACCTGCACCCTAGATCCTCATTCCCCCTGCCTGGGACCCCGGACCCACCTTCTCTCCCCACTTCTTTCACTTCAGATCCACTCTCCCACCTCTAAGACCCAAATGCACGCTGAGCCCCACCCCTAGGGTCCCAGAGCCATCCTTCCCCGGTCTCTCCCAGACCCCATTCCCCCCAAGCACTGGGTAATGCGGACGCTGCCCACCCAGAGTGCTGGGTAATGCAGATGCCCCCATCCCCGAGAACTGACTAATGCAGGCGCTGCCCCCTCCCCCGAGCGCTGGGTAATGCGGACACTGCCTCCCAGGAGTGGGTGCTAATACCAGCTGTTCTCCCCGCAGTTACCAGCTGGGCAGCGGCGAAGCCAGCATCGTCTCTGAGGACCCCATCAACGATGGAGAGTGGCACAGAGTGACAGCCATTCGGTGAGGGGTCCCGGGGCTTAGCTCATCACCGTCCTGCAGCCAGACAGCCCTCGCACGGCCCCTTGGGAAGGGATGGGGAGGGAGCCATCCCACTGCAAGGCAGCCCTCCAGCTATTCTGCCAAGGACCTTAGCCCCAGGCTCCCCTTGCAGAGGGGCTGAGCCGGGCTGCAGCCTGGAGCCAGGGAGCCCAGGGGCGGAGCAGGGCTTGTCACTGGTGTCAGTGGGTGCAGCTCCCCCATGGTCGATCGTCCTGCCCCCTCGTTCCCGGCTGGGATGGGGGCCAGCCTTGAACAAATCTGGCTCACGCCTAGCTCTGTGCCCTGCAGGGAAGGCAGACGGGGCTCCATTCAGGTGGACGGCGAGGAGCTGGTGAGTGGGGAGTCGCCAGGCAGCAATGTCATGGTGAACACCCAAGGCAGCGTGTACATAGGTAAGGCTGGGCTGGCGCCCTGGGGACCTGCGGGGTGTGGGCGCCCAGGCTGTGTGGGACTTGGGAGAGCTGGGAGTATGTGGTGGGGGGGACTGGGGCTCTCCCCTGCCCCCTGCCTGCTAGCTGGACCCTCCTCTCCAGGAACCTAATGCCCAGGAGCCCTGTCTGAGCCAACACCGCCGCTTCTGAAACAGAACTAGGAGCGATGGGGGCTGGCCTGGCCCAGGCCAGACACTTCCCATGGCAGGATGGGCCCAGCTCCCAGGCTCTGCTGGGACCAGGGCCGGACACTAACGGTGGCGGGATGGGGCCGGCTCTCGGGGCTCTGTGGGGCCCAGGGCCGGGCACTAACCGTGGCGGGATGGGGCCGGCTCTCGGGGCTCTGTGGGGCCCAGGGCCGGGCACTAACCGTGGCGGGATGGGGCCGGCTCTGGGGGCTCTGTGGGGCCCAGGGCCGGGCACTAACCGTGGCGGGATGGGGCCGGCTCTCGGGGCTCTGCTGGGTCCTGCAGAGCCCAGGTGTGTTGCACGGGATGGGACCCTGGTGCGATTCTGCGCTGGGGAGCGGAGGAAGCAACACTCCCAGTTTTGGGATGAGCTGAGAGGATCATGGTCACTTGGGGAATTCCCATAAACCCCCCACCCAAGAAGGGAGGGAAGGTTCTAGTGATTGGAGCAGGGGAGGGGAGGGGGTCCATCACGCCGTGTGTGTGACCTTAGCTCGCTCCGTGTCTCGGTTTCCCTACCTCTCCATGTGAACGGGACGTACGAGCTGCCGTGCTGGCAGTGCCCGGTGCCTCAGAGGCAGTGAAGAGCAGTGCGCCATGTGGAGTGAGCCAGTCCCGGCTGTGGCCGTTGGTGCGCTAGGGACACCGGAGCATGGGGCTGCCTTTGGGAGCTGACTGTTTCTCCTCTTGCCCCCAGGAGGCGCTCCTGCCATCCAGGCCCTGACCGCCGGCAAGTTCCGCTCAGGAATCACAGGGTGCATTAAAAACCTGGTGCTGAGCAGCGAGCGGCCCGGCCAGCCGCCACGGCAGCCCATTGACTTGCAGCATCACTCGGAGGCGGGAGTTAACATGCAAGAGTGCCCCTCATAGGCTGGCCGCCGCCTGCCCCGCGTCCGCAGGCCAATCGTGGGACGTCGGCTGTTTTATTATTACGATGATTCATTTTTTTAAAGAAACCCAGAGGAAAATGGTGCTTCGCTGCTACCCCAAACCAGTGGGGGATGGGTTTGTTTGTGTGATTGGTGCGTGGCAGCAGGGGGGCAGCCACGCCTCCTGCCAGCCCCATGGGAACGCGGACCCTTCGGAACTGAGACGGTGGAGTCGACCCAACCGCACTGGGCCCGGGGCCATAGAGAGCCGGGAGCCCAACCCAGTGCCGGCCCTCGCTACGTCCTGCCCCACAAGGGCCCCACAGGATGGGGAGCTCACCCCTCTGCCTTCCGGCTTCAGTGCTCAGAGCATGTGCCCCCGAGCTGGGCGGGAAGGAGGGTGCCAGCTGGCTCTGCTGTGCCCCATGCCCGCCAAGGGACAGGGGGTCTGGGGAGAGGGGCAGACGGGGCATTGTTTCTCCTCTAGGGAGGGACGGGATCCACATTCATCCTCCAAAGTTAGGAGTGTGGGATCAAAGTCACAGCCTGCCTTGCAGTGGCACGCCTCACCCCACTCAGGGGGAATGGACAGGAGAGCCTGCCCCCTCTCTCCGGGAGCAGTGAGGGGGCAGGCAGGGGCTCCCAGCCTGGTCACCCCTCCCACTCCATTTCATGGGCCAGCACTACAGGAGCCAGCAGGCCGGGGCAGGGGTTCCCGCCAGGATCTGTCTGTTTACACTGTAGCCATCCCCATTGCCTCAGCCAGGCTCCAGCCCCCGCACCACGGCTGCCCCAAGCCACTAGCTGGGCTGTCTCCCTAGATTATCACCTGGAGGGTCGTGCCCGTGGAGCAGGAGGACAGGGGCAGGCCCCGGGAGCCCATGCATAAGGGCAGCCCCATGGCTCGCTCCAGGTGCTGGTGGCAGGAGCATCCCATGGCCAGAGGCTGCTACGTGTTCCTGTGGGCAGCCAGCAGACCCCCCCCCAAGATCATTCCTCCCCAGTCAGATGGGCGGACAGACGCAAGTGCCTTACTAGCAGCAGGACCCTCTGGGGTCCGGGCTGCCCCTATTCATCCAACAACCATTGGGCAGACCCTTAAAAGCTGCCCACCCATCCCCTGCCCTGCCTGGCCGGGGGTGTTTCCGGCTCTGGAGCCATCTGCTCACAGGACAATCTTCACTCACTGCTCTTGCCGGCTCTGCCAGGTCCAGATCTAAGCACTTGCCCAGGGCCGGGCCTTGTGAATCGCACCACCAACTGCACTGGCTGGAGCCTGCCCAGCATCACGGCTCCTTTTTCACCACCACCGTCACTTGGTGGGACAGAGACGACTCGGCCTAGGCAGCGGCAGGCCAGGCAGAACAGCCCACTGCAAACAGCCCTTTGCCCCAGCCCACCACCGGCTCCCTGAGCAGAACCGAGAGCTCCAAGGCACCTCCTCTAATGGAGCCCAGCAAATGTCACCTCTCTGCCTGGGTGACGTCCGGCCGCGGGGCGAGGCGCCAGCACATGCCACAGCTCCCGCTGCCGCTGCCTTGCATTGCCCTTCTGCCCAGGGCGGCTGCCACCCCAGAGAACAGCAGGGAGCCAGGCTGCTTGTGTTCCTGCCGTTCAGATGGCGCCCTGTTAACGCACCCAACCCCAGACCGCGTCCGACTTGTGCTGTTTCACTGGATTCCTATTAAACGACAAATAATGCCTGAGCTGTCTGTTGGAGGGTGAGCTGCGCCTCGCCCCATGTGTCTGTCTCGGGCACCTGCCAGCGGGGCCAAGAGTCAGACCCTGCTCGAAGGGAGGGGCAGACCCTGCTCGAAGGGCACAAGCCTGCAGGGGTCGACCCAGCCGCCCCCTGTGGCACTGGTGGGGTCATACCCCTCTCATGCCCGTGAGGGCAGGTTAGTATCTCTGGCACCCCAGGGTGCTCTGGGGAAGGGGGGGGGAGCAGCTACTATCTCACCGGGGGGCTTACCAGCCCCCAAATCAGCTGTGAGCTCCAGGCCCTTGGGATCAGGAGGATCTGGCCTGCCCTCGTGGCAGCCCCCAGGCACCTGCAGCCCCTGCCCAGATCCCAGGACCTCTGGCCGGAGTCTGGGCCTGACCTGCGGGGGTGTTTCCCCATCCTGGAGGGCCTGACTGCTGACGCCCTGTGTCCCCACACCCTCCCTGCGCTCTGCTCTCCTGGCCAGCGAAGACCCCTGGCGGGGGACCTGTCTGTGATGCAGGCCCCACGAGCAGCCAACCCCTGGCTTGGGGCATGGGATCATGGCCCCTGCTGGACCTGCCAGTCCTGCTTGCCCCCATCCCGAAGCCTACGTGGGGGAGCCCAGCTGCAGCTAGATGGAGCTGGTGGTGGTTGTGCAGGAGCTGGGGGAAAGCCCCAGGGCCCCTTTTGCAGAAGATGGGGGCTGGTCACTGTTCCTAAATAAACTGTGCGGAACCAGATTGTCTGGGGCCCCATTGCTCTGCCTCGACCCGCCAGGGGGCAGGGGCCCGGCCGCTGGCAGAACTGTCCCTAGGGCAGGCTGGAGGGGCCCAGTCATTGCGGTCCAAAGCTGGTGTTGGATTCTCCCTGAAAAGGCCCCGAGCCTGCTCCGCTCAGCCTGAACCATCTCAGGGATGGGGCTGCCCCACTGCACGGTGGGAGTGCCCCAGGGCGACAGGCCCAGACTGGTGCCTGGCTTCCCCGCCTCACCCAGGTCACGCAGGCTGCAGAGGGCAGTAGTGGCCATTGGTGTCAGCTGTCCTGAGGTTGGGAGCTGCCTGGGCCTGGTTTCCAGCGGGGCTGAATGCCAGCAGCTTCTGGGGTTGCAGAGGAGTTTGGGGGCTTGGAGCTGCTCCCAAATCTGGCCCTCGACACAGACGGGGCACCTGCAAAAGAAGGCGCCCCAAAGCAGCTGCATATGACAAAGGGGGCGCAGTGCCCCAGGAAAGGGCCAGGCCTGGTCACCCCCAAAGCTCTTGCAGTAGCATGACCAGGCAGCACTAGTGATGCCCACCCTCCCTCCTCGCTTGCAGGGCTGGGCAGACACGGCTCCAAAGCAAAGGGCCGACTTGTTTTATTAGCTGTGGACAACCTGCTGGGCTCACGTCACGTGGAGGGACAACGTGTTTGGTGCAGCAGGTGTCACGACAACAATCACACACAGAGAGCTGAGAGGGACTCAGCCTGCCCCCAGCAGCACGGTGCTTGGAGGCAAGGGGCAAATCCCCATTCAAGCCGGTGAATCAGTCGCTCCTTCCGCCACCTGCATTGCTCACTGGGGCAACTCCAGGGCTCCCTAGCAGCCCTCTGGGCCCTTGTGTTTCGGAGGCTGCTGCCGCTGGGGGGCAAGCAGCTGAGCCGATCCATGGGAGGTGCGCATGGGGCCTGGCCTGTCTATGGGAGTGAGCAGAGGAGGTATTGGGAGCTGCCCCGTCCTCTTCCCACCCCGCCCCCCCAGCTCGTAACCGCAGCCCGTCCTGCGATGACCCAAGCCAGCGGAGAGAATCTCTGCAGCACAGACAGGAAAGGTCGGATCCCTGCTCCTCCGGCCAGGGCGCAGATGGCGTAGCTGACATCAGATGGGCAGGTCGGCGCTGTGCTGCGGCGTGACTTTGCTGGAACAGCCATGGTTCCTGTGGGCACAGCTGTGGGGGCAGAGCTGGCACGAGGCCCACATGGAGTTGCAGCCAGGCAGGAACCGGCAGGTCCCGAGTCTCCAGACAAACCAGCCAGGGGACCAGCAGCACCAGAGCAGGAGGGCTGAGCCCACGCCCAGCCCCAGGAGGAGGTAGAGGGCCAGCAGGGAGCATGAGCTCCTCTCACCTGGAGAGGAAGGAAAAGGGCTGGGGCCAGTGAGTGCCAGGTGCCTCCCTTCTGCTCCCCAGCTCCGCTCTTCCCTCTACGTGCTGGAGCCAAAAGCAGACCACTCTGGCAAGCCTGCCCTGCCACAGGGTGGGCCAAGCCCTCAGTGCCACGGCCATGGGGCCACAAGGCCTGAGTTGCTGCCACCCTGCTCCTTCTGCAATGTGGTGCTAAGCCAGCTGCACTGCATGGGGGCACGGGACACCAGGGAACAGGGTGGACGCAGGCCCCAGGGGACAGCTGGTAACGCTGCATCAGGGTCCCAGGCGCTGGCCCATGGAGGGTCGCTGTAGGGGGGGGAGTGTTGGCAGCGGAATGGCGCAGGCTCCCGTTGCAGGGCCCAGTGAGAGACACCAACTGATCTCCCACTCCCCTGCCGAGGGGCTGCTCCTAGAGCACACATACACAGGCCTGTCATCACACACACAGCAACCTGTCATAGCACATGCGTACATGTGTCATTGCACCCACACGCACCAACCTGTTATTACAAATGCAGCCACCTCTCATTGCACATGCCGGCACCTATCTCATAGCACAAGTACACATGCACCTCCGCTATTGCATACACCTGCACCCACCTGTTGTTGCACAATCCTGCATGCACATCTGTCATGGCACACACCTGTCATTGCACACACACACACACACACACACACACGCACCCACGTGTCATTGCACAGATATCATTGCATACGTACACACACAGCTGTTATTGCATATGCACACATGTAAACATGCAACTACCTGCCATTATACACCCATGCACATGTGTCATCGCACACATGCACATACACATGTCTGTCATTACACACACCTGTCATTACACGTGTCAGATATTTGTCATTACACATGTACACACACACACACACCTGTTATTGCATACACATGCATGTCATTGCAAATATCTGTCATTACATACACGTCATTGCATATAGACACACACACACACACACGTCTGTCATTACACATGTGCATACACCTGTCATTATACACACACATGCACATGCACCCACCTGTCTGTGCAAGCACCCACGCACATGTCATCACACACACATCCAACTATCATTGGACATGCACACACACAACCACATATTTGCTATTGCACACACACCCATCTGTCATTGCCTATGAGCACAAGTGTCATCACACAAGTACACACTGTCATTGCACATGCACTCACATTGTTATTGCATATGTACATACATGCCTGTTATTGCACAGACACATTGCACATGTACACATCTGTCATTGCACACGTGCACCCACTTGTCATTACACACAACCACCTTCACACACACAAACACCTGTCATTACATGCGCACACATCATACATACACACACACACACCTGTCATTATAGATGCACGCACATGAATCATTGCACACATACACACCCACCTGCCTGTCATTATACACATGTACACGTCATCACACACGAGCACACACATCTGTCATTATAGACACAGCTCAGTGCACACACACACCTGTCATGACACAGTCTCATTGCACATGCACACGTTTGTCATTGCACATGTGTGTCATTGCACCTTCACACACATCTGTCATTGCACACGGACACATCCATCCATCATTACACAGGTGCACGTGTCATAACACGCTCACGTGTCTCATTGCACACATGCACAGCCACCTGTCATTACACACACGTCATCACACATGTCTGTTATGACACACATAGCTCTCATTGCACACACGCACGTACCCACACATCTGTCAATCCTTTTACAAAGTGCTGGGCAGATCAGAAGGTTTGGGCTCCCCCCAGGGCATGTCGCAGGGAAGGCTGGTCCAGTGGTTAGGGTACTGAGCTGGGACCTGGTTCAAGTCCCTCCCTGTATAGGGTGACCAGACAGCAAGTGTAAAAAATCGGGACGGGGGTGGGGGATAATAGGTGCCTATATAAGAAAAAGCCCCTATAAAATAGGGACATCTGGTCACCCTACCCCCGTGTGACCTGGGGTGCATAGGTGCCAACTCCATGGGTGCTCTGGGGCTCAAGCACCCACCAAAAATAACTAGGGGGTTCTCAGCACTCGCAGGACCTTTTGTGGGCTATGGTGCTTGAACCGTGCTCCCGCCCCTGCTCTGCACGCGCTCTGCCCTACCCCCGCTTGGCCTCCCCCCCCCCCCAAGGTCCTGCCCCCCACTCAGCCTCTTCCCCGATCACATGGGGTGGGGGGAGGAGGAGGCAGAGCGGAGCACCCACCGGCACAAAGATGTCAGCGCCTGTGCGTGGGCGGGTCCCAGACCCTGGCCATGCCCCAGTCGCCGTCTGTACCATGGGGAACGGCCCAGCCCTGCCCCCAGCCATTAACAATGCCAGGCACTGAGCACATTTCTAGGCCAGGCCCGGGACTTTGCACTTGGACTTAGGTACCTGCTGCAGGCTCGTCCTGGGGCGCGGTGTCTGGGGCCAAGGGCTGGCTCTTCTCTGCCCCGCCACAGGCTGCCATGCAGGGGGTGACGTGGGCTGCAGGGCTGCTCGCAGGCTGGAGAAATGCTGATGTGGGAGGGCGGCCTGCATGGGGGAGGGGAAGGGGGTGTAATTGCACCAACTGCCGGTGCAGGCGTCAGCCCAGCAAAGAGCCCCCAGGCCAGGAAAGCCCTTGGAGTGGAGCAGCCCTGAGCTCCCCCGTCCACCCATCCAGAACACTCCCCTGTGCTCCCGAGTGCACCAGGTAGGATCAGGCCCATATTTTCCAGTCCTCTTATCCATTATCTGCTTTCTGGGGCGCTCCCTCTACCCCACCCCTGCCTGCCCTGCCCTGGGTTCTCCCCACCCACACTGACCTCTGCACGCGGCAGGGGGGTGGGCTGCCTGGTCCGAGCCATCCCCGCAGTTATCGATGCCCGTCCGGTCACACACCAGGCTCATGGGGATGCACTTGCTGTTCCGGCACTGGAAGTACGGCTCCTCGCTGCACTCGGACATGTTGAAGCCTGAAATGGACATGGCCAGCGCTGACAGCATGGCAGCTCCTGGTGCCTCGCACACCCCTGGGGGCAGCTAGTTTCACGCACTGGCATGGGTACGTGACTCAGTGGCCGAGAGGAGAATGTGATCAAGCGTCCAGGCTCCGGGGGATGAGGAGTTTAGGGTACAGGAGATGGCTCGGGGCTGGGGCAAGAGCTTGGGCTGCGGGCTCCGGGAGAGAGTTTGGGTGCAGGAGGGATTCTGAGCTGGGGCAGGGGGGTGAGGCACGGGAGGAGGTTTGGGGGTGGGGCAGCTGGGCGGCACTTACCTCAGGCGGCTCTCAGAAGAAGTCGGCATGTCCGGCTCCTAAGTAGAGGGGCCAGGGGTCTCCGTGTACTGCCTGCGCCTGCAGGCACCTCCCCTGCAGCTCCCATTGGCCGCGGTTCCTGGCCAATGGGAGCTGCAGAGCCGGCACTTGGGGCAGGGGCAGCACACAGAGCCCCCTGGTCACCCCAGTGCCTAGGAGCCGGACATGCCAGCAGCTTTCGACAGCCACGCAGAGCCAGGTCAGGCCTGGAGCCTGCCTTAGCCCCGCTGCACCGACTGGACTTTTAGCGGCCTGGTCAGTGGTGTTGACCGGAGCCGCCAGGGTCCCTTTTCAACAGGGTGTTCCGGTCGAAAACTGGACGCCTGGCAACCTTAGCCATGCCGCAGAGTTTCAGACCCAGGATCTCTGCAAGCTGGGCCCTGCAAGCAGGACGTTAACGCCCCACTAGCCACAGGTGAGCCCACAGGGCCAGCCATGCCAAGAGGCTAAAGGACATGGCAGCACCCACTGCTCTGGAGAGGAGATGGCCTCTCCAGTCGTGGGGGGGAAGGCATCAGAGCAGCGGGGGTATCTGACCAGGGAGAATGGCCTATGGTTTCTCTTGGGACCCACTGGCTCTGGGGCCTGGCGGTGACCACTGAGAGCGGAGCCAGGCATTCACGCCACCAACGCCCAGCTCACTGGGGTCAGGGACAGGTCGCCACTGATCTCAGCAGGGCCATGAGTGCACCCTGGCTAAAGGGCTCTTTGCAGGGCCAGGAACCCTGTGTCTCAGAGCTGAGACAGTCGGCACGACCTGAAGACCTGAACTAGACTGGCTACAGTGGGCTCGGCTCTGCGGCGGCGGCAGGGGGCGGGGGGGTGAGAGAGAGAGCTTGAGGTTGCATGTGAGAGGACGTGCAACCTTGTGTGAGATTGTGGGTGTGGGTGTGCGCGCGCAGGTGTGTGTGTGTGTGTGTGTGCAGCTGTTCATGTGCAGCCTTGTGTGTGTGTAGGCATATGTGCAGCCTTGTGTGAGATGTGGTATGCGCGTGTGTGTGTGCGTGCGTGCGCAGCCTGTGTGAGACGGTGTATGTCCAGGAATATACGTGCAGCTGTCCATGTGGGGCATAGGCACACGGCAGTCTGTGTTCCAGGTGACTGTGGTGTCCCTGGCAAATAGGTGCATTTTCCCTGTGCTCTGATGAGTGTTCGGGGTGATGCGCTATCACACGCGCTTGCTGCCAAGTCCATGTCACTCCTGATCCACCCCCGCCCCCACTGCCCGTCATGTGGCCTTTTGAATCTGCACCCCCTGGGCATTCACGTGCCAGCCCTGCCTCTGCCCCCCACCTGCACCTGATCCAGCCACCCCGGGACAAGGCTCCTGTGAAGCCTGGCGGAGATTCAGGAGGTAGCACAAATACTCAGTTTATTTCCGCCACTGAAGCCTTTTGCCACATGTGCCCTGTCCCTGTGATGGCCAGTGACCAGGCCCCAGGGCACAGCTGGCAAGGGCCCCTATGCAGGTGTGGTGGGGGGCTGGGCAGCTGCTCTTTGGGCTGGACACTGGTTGGAGCTGGGCAGTCTGGCAAGGTCCTTTGGCTTGTGCCCCCTGCACGCATTGCCCCTCACCCAGACGGAAGGATGTAAAATCGCCCACGAAATCCACCCGGGGCTGCTGCCCCCGTGTCACCAAGCGCAGGGTCAAGTAGTTCCCGGTGGACAGGATGGGCCTGGGGATGCTCTTCCCACACAGCGGGAACCCCAGAGGCTCGGCGGCGCGACCTCTGCCATCATAGAATTGCACATACGATCCAGCATTACAGGGGTCCTGAAGCTCCCAGTCTCCACCGGATGAGGGCTGCCCAGGCCCCCTTTGGCTGGGCCGGGCGGTCTCTGGGGGCAGAGGCGCTCGGGTGGCGTTGGACGGGGGCCCGCCACTGGGGGCCAGGCGCAGCAGGCTGTACACCAAGAAGAAGCGGAACTGGAACTGGACTTTGTCTTTGGGCGACGCGGCCTGCATGGTGAGGGAGCAGTCCGTCCCCGTAGCCACGAAGTAGTAGCGCCGGGAGTCCCTGTGCGAATTGATAATCAGCCCGTCGTCTCTGATGGTCTGCCCACAAAAATCCACCAGGTTAACTGGGGTGGGGAGAGAGAGAAAGAGAGTCGCCATCCGAGCCCCTGAATCCCACTGCCTCTGTCCCTGCCTTGGGAGACGGCAAAGAATGCAAATAGCCCTGGGGTGGGAGCAGGCTCGTCCCGCCTAGCGCCCAGCTGCTCTAACAACGCGCACCAGCTCGGACAGCTGCAGCCTGCTCTGGGGACACAGACGCCGCCTTCCAGGGTTGCTCCTCTGACCCCGATTGCCAGGATCCACAAACCCCACAGCAGGCAGGAAGGGTTAAAGAGCAGCTGTGGACTCAGGCAGCCCTGCCCTGCGCACCTATGACTGATGCCAGGTTTGGAGGAGCGGCTTTACCAGGGAGAAGCCCAGCTCAGAGGACCCAGCCCTGGGAGAGCATCAGGCCTCTACCCCTCAGCTCCCAGTGGGGAGCCGGGGAGCTGTCAGGCTCCTGCGCACAGTGGGTGCAGTACGATGGCCGGGTCTCTGGTGGGACAGGAGGCATGGTGCTGGGCTCTATTGCCATTAGTTTGGTTTTCATGCTTTGCTGTGGCCATAGGTGCTGGAACTAGGAGGGACTGGGGGGGGCTGCCGCACCCCCGGCTTGAAGTGGTTTCCATCGTTTACAGTTTGGTTCAAAGTCTCTCAGCACCCCCTCAACACTATAAAAACTGTTCCAGCCCCCCTGGCTGTGGCTGCGGCTGGGACCACGAGCCTGGCCCCAGCACCGGCTGGTGCAGGAAGTAGCGGAGGGAAGAAGGAAGTGGGTTGATGAGGCAGAAAACCCACTTGCTGCAGGGTGCCTGGGCTGGATCCAGGGTAGAGGCAGGGACTGGGTCCCTAGGCTCACCAAGGAGGTTGCGTGGAGGCCCCAGACACAGGGGCCAGAAGGACTAAGGGGCTGGACCTGGGGCAATGTCATGGCACTGCTGAATTAAGCTCTGGTTCATCCAAAAGGGCTGAGCGTAACCGTGGCCTGGCTGGAGGCCATGGGCGGATGGGACAGCCGGTCGCAGGGGCTATGGAGAGGCAATACCCGGCAACACCGCCCCCAGCGACATGGCAGCATGTCAGCTTGCAAGGCACACCCCTGCAGAGGGGTAACAGCCCCCCAAGGTCACCATGGCTCCCAGGATGAAGTCTGTCTAGGGGGATAATCCCAGGGCTGCTGGGGGCTGGGCCAGCTGAGAGCAGGGGACTGGCAGACCACAAATCTCAGGCGGGGTTGTTGGCACTGGGGCTCGGGCAGTGATTTCACTGCCAGCTGAGACCCTGGCCCTGCTCCGTCTGGGGGGCACCAGGCTTGAGGGGCTGGTGGAAGCTGTTGTCCACAACAACCTGCACCAGTCATGCCTGCTGCTGCCCAACCCTCCAGTCAGGGAGAAGGGGTAGCAGGGAGGAGACCCCAGAAAACTACAGCTTTGACAAACCTTCCCAATACACAGACTGGAAGCAGTAATTTGCAAGATTTTGAACTGAAAAAAAAAAAAAAAAAA